TGCAAGTTCTCTCAGCTTAAGACAAGCAAATCCTGGAATACAATTCAAGTAACACTGTACTTCTTAATGCAGTTCTCAAACAAAAGAAATATGCATTTGTGCATCTACTGCAGGGGAAAGAATCCAGTTTAGTTTGCATGTGGGCTCCATTGTGTACCTCCTACAGCTGGGTGATTGTTGGGATACAGTAGATGATAGTTTATGTCCTTTTAGGCCTTGATTGACAGGTAAGATGGTACATTTGACTGACAAATTAGTTTATCTTTATAACCTTTAAATGATTCCTATTAATGTTCTCCACCATCACAGTATAATGTTTACCTGTAGTCTGCTCAATAAATTGTTTTTTTTCTGTTCCTCCTCTCAGTAACATGGTAAGACCAACATATAGGGTTTGGAAAAACATTTCCACAGTGCATTTTCTGCTGAGAGCAATTCTGCAATATGTAAATATTGTGAGAAGAAATATTCTTTTCCAAATGCTACAAGGATGACAAAACACACCCTTACATACCCTAAAGACATCAAAAATACTTTATGGAATGAAATGATAAGATCCAATTAGCTTTTCGCTCCGGAGTTCTCATTCCAGAAACACTCTCTGCTGCTTCTGGATCATCACAAATTTTAAAAAGCAAGTTTAGTTAATTTACTGAGCAAGTTGTACTCTTATTTCAAGCATAATATTTTTATATACACTGTATTTCACATTCCTAGTGTAACAAAATGACTTTCAGTTTGTTAAACTACTCCACACTGATTTTGTTTGTTAATTTTTTCAAAAAATTTCTATATTTTCCAGAACAAAACAGGGGAAAAAAAATTTTTCTCATGCGTTCAAAGTTTCCAAAAATGTTAAAATTCTACAAAGAACTAATGTATTTGGTACTGTATCCCCCCCAAAAAACTACTTCTAAGACTTGAATTGCTAATTGAAATTGAGGTTTGAGTTACTGAGCTCTGTAAACATGCTTTTTACCAGGGGCAGAATGGACCAGGGAGGCAATTGCCTCCCGGACCGCTCTGATGCCCCTTAATGCTGCACCTGTCTAAAGCAGGGACAGCGCCAACATACTAGGAGGTGCAAACAGAAGCCGGTAGGGCCGGCTGCAGTGACACGAAGCGCTGCCTGCAGGGGGAAACATACCTCCCAGGTGGGCCACTGGAGACAGAGCCACACTGAAAGGACAACGGCAGGCTCTCTCCACCATGACCCCGACTGGCACACCATGACAGCTGCACAGGAGTTGAAAGGGCCATCATTCCGGGAATGCTGATCACACACTGGGAGAAAGGTGAGCACATTGAACCCCACAGTCATCGAATGTCACAGCCAAAAAGTCCCACTCTGTAGCAGCGGTGCATGGTGCGGGGAGGTGAGGGGACTGCGGTATGTCGGGGCACATATTATACAACAGATCAGAGGGGCACCTCTGTTTAGCCCTGTTGTAGGAGATAGCCTGGGATGACCCGCTCCTCTCTCTCAGAAAGTCTTATGTTAATGATGGATGCTAAGTAGACACCACATGCGGGGGAGGGGGGATACACCCACACTCTTATCCTCCCCCAGCTCTGCCCACTCAGCCTGCTGCAGGGCTAAAAACATTAATAAGTGTCAGCTAGGCCTGACATAGGCATGCACTGCTTGGACTCCAGCACAGGGCAGTCTCCTGATAGCCTAGGGCTTGCAGCCAGGATCAGGACAAGGCGAGGGCCGAAGGGCCACCTGCCCTGGCCACAATTTTATTATGCAGGGAGGAGGGTGTGCTTGGGCTCACATCTTAGCACCTTTCATGTCTCCTCTCCAGATCCTCCAGCCTCCCCCTTATGCAGAGTCCGAGATCAGCTGCCCTGCTTACAGTGAAGGAGGACAAAGTGGTTGCAGCCAGTTCGAAGAACAGACCAGTGACAGCCACAGTCCTCCATCGCAATCATGCCTGAACTCCTTCTTTCCTTCTTCTGTGCTCCACTGATGGGAGTCACCACCTCCCTGCACTGCAACCAAGACACTGGCCTGGGATCCTATGTGTTTACAGCTCCAGATGTGTCACCGCAAACACCATTCAACTTCTCCACGGGGGGGATTATGCGGGGTGGTCACTGCTTGTAATCTTCTTCACTGGTGGTCTTCTTTTGCTGAAGAGAGGTGGTAGGGGTTCTGTGTTTGGGTCCCCCTTGATTACCACCTTGCAGTTCTCCTAACCAAGGGTCTCCTTTAACTGGAGGGGGGAAAGAGAGGAGTTCCTGAATGGGGATCCCCTTTAATTACCACCATGCAGTCCTCCTGGCAGGGGTCTCCTTTATCTGGAAGGAGGGTTGTTGTATTCCTGGATAAGATAGGGGTCTGCCTGTATTTGTCAGTATTCCTGGATGGATGAGAGGGGGTCCCTTCTCATCATCCCAATGCACTCCTCCTGTTTGGGGGTCTCCTCCTCCTGGAGGGGAGGGTGTCAGTATTCCTGGATGGATGGGAGGGGCCCCTCTAATTGTCCCAGTGCACATGCTCTAACCATACACATACATATACTATTTTGCCAAAAGTATTGGGACGCCCCTCCAAATCATTGGGACGCCCCTCCATGGCTACAGGTATATAAAATCAAGCACCTAGGCATGCAGACTGCTTCTACAAACATTTGTGAAAGAATGGGTCGCTCTCAGGAGCTCAGTGAAGTCAAGCGTGGTATCGTGATAGGTTGCCACCTGTGCAATAAGTCCATCTGTGACATTTCCTTGTTACTAAATATTCCACGGTCAACTGTTAGTGGTATTATAACAAAGTGGAAAACATAGTAACTCAGCCACAAAGCAGAAGGCCAGGGAAAATGACAGAGAGGGGTCAGTGCATGCTGAAGCGCACAGTGCACAGAAGTCACCAACTGTCTGCAGAGTCAATAGCTAAAGACCTCCAAACTTTGTGTGGCCTTCAGATTAGCACAACAACAGTGTGTAGAGAGCTTCATGGAATCGGATTCCATGGCCGAGCAGCTGCATCCAAGCCTTAGAGAAACAAGCGCAAAGCGTTGGATGCAGTGGTGTAAAGCACCCCACCACTGGACCCTAGAGCAGTGGAGATGTGTTCTCTGGAGTGATGAATCATGCTTCTCTGTCTGGCAATCTGATGGATGTGTCTGAGTTTGGCGGTTGCCAGGAGAACGGTACTTGTCTGACTGCATTGTGCCAAGTGTAAAGTTTGGTGGAGGGGGGATTATGGTGTGGGGTTGTTTTTCAGGGGTTGGGATTGGCCCGCTAGTTCCAGTGAGGGGAACTCTTAATGTATCAGCATACCAAGACATTTTGGACAATTTCATGCTCCCAACTTTGTGGGAACAGTTTGGGGATGGCCCCTTCCTGTTCCAACATGACTGCACACCAGTACACAAAGCAAGGTCCATAAAGACATGGATGAGCCAGTTTGGGGTGGAGGAACTTGACTGGCCAGCACAGAGTCCTGACCTCAACCCAATAGAATGTCTTTGGGATGAATTAGAGCGGAGACTGAGAGCCAGGCCTCCTCCCCCGACATCAGTGGCTGACCTCACAAATGTGTTTCTGGAAGAATGGTCATTCCCATAGACACACTCCTAAACCTTGTGGACAGCCTTCCCAGAAGAGTTGAAGCTGTTATAGCTGCAAAGGGTGGGCCAACTCAATATTGAACCCTACAGACTAAGACTGGGATACCATTAAAGTTCATGTGTGTGTAAAGGCAGGCCGACCAATTATTTTGGCAATATAGTGAACTATATTGTTTTTTGTTAGGGTAAGGGGTTAGAGTTAAGGCAAGGTTTGGGTTAGAACTAAGGGTTAGGGTTTGAGTTGTGATTAATATTTTATTTATTATCTTCTTTTTTTTTTGTTAGGGTTAGGGTGATAATAATAATACAAAATGTAAAATAAATACATATAAATAAGTCAAATAATCATTTATAAATACCATGTAATAATAAATAATAATTAACCCCTAACCTTAACCCCCTAACCCTTAAAAAATTTAATAAAACAATAGTATATTTTAATTAATAAACAAAAATAATAATAATTTTTTTCGGGTTTGGGTCTTTATTTATTTTTTTTTTTATCCACTTCATTACTGGGCACTTTTACCCCCTCCTGCCCAGGCCAGCTCTTACGCATTGAATGACAATTGCGCAGTCATGCAACACTGTACCCAAACTAAAATTTTATCATTTTATTCACCCAACTAGAGCTTTCTTTTTGTGGTATTTAATCACCGCTGGGGTTTTTATTTTTTGCTAAATGAACAAAAAAAATTAAAATTTTGAAAAAAAAAAAACACTTTTTTTGTTTCTGTTATAAAAGTTTGCAAATAAATAATTGTTCTTCATAAATTTAGGCCAAGATGTATTCTGCTCCATGTCTTTGGTGAAAATAACCCAAATCAGTATTTATTATTCAGTCTGTAGGAAAGTTATAGAGTTCACAAACTATGGGATATATCTGAAAGACCTATAAATGTTAGTATCCAGTTATATTCTGTGTATCTAAGAAACATTCCAGGCCTTTTTTAAAGCAATCCACGGAGCTGGCCAGAACCAACTCTTGAGGGTGTCTATTCCACATTTTCACAGCTCTTACTGTGAAGAAACCTTTCCATATTTGGAGATTAAATTTTTTTTCCTCCAGACGTAAAGAGTGCCCCCTTGTCCTCTGTGATGACCTCAGGGTGGATAACTCTACACCAAGTTCACTATACGAACCATTGATGTATTTATACATGTTGATCATATCCCCCCTTAATCTCCTCTTCTCAAGAGAGAATACATTCAGTTTCTCTAATCTTTCCTCATAGCTGATCTCCTCCATGCCTCCTATCAGTTTGTGTGCTTTAACCACCTTCCGCCCGCCATATAGTACAATGACGGGCGCAAGGTGGTTCTCTTGTTCTGATAGGACGTCATATGACGTTCTTCCATTCTCAGTGCGCTGTGTCCCTCGGACACAGCGGATCACGAAAAGAGCCGAAGATGTCACAGCTAATCACATGTAAACACGGAAATGCCGGTTATCGCATTTCTCTCCTCTCGAGCGGTCACGCTGACAGCTCAAGAGGAGAGGAGAGCCGGTAATCGGCTTTCCACGGAGGGGACATGTACACTGATCATGAGGGCACTGATGATCAGTATGCCCTGATGATCAGTGTGGCCCCAGAAGTGCCACCTGTCAGTGTCCATCAGTGCCTTGTGTCAGTGCTCATCAATGCCACATATCAGTGCCTACCAGTGCACATCAATGCCACATATCAGTGCCCATCTGAGCTGCCTTTCGATGTCACCCATCAATGCCAACTATCAGTGCTGCCAATCAGTGCCACCTATCAGTGCCAGTCAGTGCCGCCTATCAGTGCCGCCTATCAGTGCCATATAGCAGTGCCATATAGCAGTGTCATGTATCAGTGCTGCATTTCAGTACCCATCAGTGATGCTTGTCAATGCCCATCAGTGCAACCTACCAGTGCCTCCTCATCAGTGCCACCTATCAGTGTCCATCAGTGCAGCCTATCAGTGCCCATCACTACAGCCTCATTAGCGCACATCAGTGAAGGAGAAAAATCACTTATTTACAGAACTGTATAACAAAAACTAAGAAAAAACGTTTTTTTTTTCAGAATTCAGTGGTTTTTGGTTTATTTAAGAAAAAATAAAAAACCCAGAGGTGATTAAATACCACCAAAAGAAAGCTCTATCTGTCACAAAAAAATGATACAAAATTTCATATGGGTACAGTGTTGCATGACCGCACAATTGTCATTCAAAGTGTGACAGCACTGAAAGCTGGAAATTGGCCTGGGCAGGAAGGGGGCATAAGTGCCCTGTAGGCTAGTGGTTAAAATTCATGAAAGTGTATTTGAAAAAAATGCTTTAGAAAAACCACATAAAAAATTTGCAAAACCCATTATTTTATTCTCTGATGAAAAAAAAAAAATATAATGTTTGCCGGTTCTAATTAATTTTCTAGCAAAAAAAAAAGCTAATTGTACATATTAGAGAGATGTGTAAGAAAAGGGTCATAAAGCGGATATCCATGTCAGTATACTGCCACCTTCAGGCAGCAATTATGTGTTGCAATTAATGTGCCTTTCACTTTCATTTCTGCAATTGAGTTTCTTCTTCCTGGTACGTCAAGCAGGCACTGGACAAGCTTCAACGATTGTTTTCTCCGTCATACTTCTATTAAAGGTAAGCAAAACAAATAGAATATCTGTTGTGAGCTGGGGATCAGTAGCAGGTACAATGCTCCCCAGGGTATGTTTTAGGGTCACCACCTCGTCCCTTTAAACCGAACACATATTAATGACACAGGTTCTGCAGCTGATTAAGGTGGTAATTAAACTCATCTGCTGCCTAATGCAGGCCATAGACGGTTCGTTTATCGGCCGCTTTTTCGTCCAAAAGAATATAGTCCGATTATCGCACTGTTAGCAGGGCAATGGCATCGGTTGATTTTCACGGTTCCTCCTCATTTCGTTTATCTGTCATGCTGGAAAATTCATGAAAAACGGACAATTTTCAAAATCATTGTTGGCAACATGGGATTACAGAACGAACGATGTTTCGTTTTTTGGATGAAAGATCGGCTGATAAACGAACAGTCTATGGCCTGCATTAGGCTGGCCATACATGGGTTGATTTCCGAACTATTTTTCGTGCGGAAATCGGACCTAAGAATAATCAACTGATTTTCACTCTGTTAGTGGGGCAATGGCATCATCTGCTTTTTGTGGTTCCTCCCCATTTCGTTTATTTCGTTAATTAAACTCACCTGCTGCCTAATGCAGGCCATAGACGGTTCGTTTATTGGCCGATTTTTCGTCCGAAAGAATATAGTCCGATTTTCGCACTGTTAGTGGGGCAATGGCATCGGTTGATTTTCACGGCTCCTCCTCCTTTCGTTTATCGGTCATGATGAAAAATTTGTGAAAAACGACTGATTTTTAAAATCATTGGTGGCACCACAGTTCAGGATTCGACCCATGTATGGCCTGCATTTAAATCAGCCTCAGAACCTGTGTCATTAATGTGTGTTCAGTTTTAAAGGGCTGAGCTGGCAAGCCTAGTATGTTTAAAATCATGATTCTTGTGAGCTGCTATGGTGTATTATGTGCATAAATAAAATAAAATTACAATATATATATCCCTAAAATCGCCTCTATGAAATGTGTGCTGAATACATATACTTGTGTGTGTGTGATTTAAATTATTAAAAATAAATATGCGAAAATCAAATGAGTGGATCGCCTACACCATACACATGCTAGTGTGTTACTATAATCAAAAAAAAACATTTATTTGTTTTTTTTTTAACCCTAGTATGTTTGCAGGCTATTTACAGGCGCTGCACAGGGCTTCCCAAAAATAAACAGTTTGAGCCTGGGTTCACACATATGCGGTGCGGTAAATCTCATGCGATTCGCAGAGGAACCGCGCCGCATTCCTGTGCAAATCACATGCGATTTGTCTGCGGTGCGATTGGAGCTGTACATTTTGTATGGCTTTAATTGCACCGCACCAAAAAGGTGCAGGACCCTTTTTTTGGTCCGCACTAGAATCAGATCGCATGGGTATTCACACCTATGCGATCCGATTCTGCATTTTGCAGACCGCTTTTGGGGGTGTTGTTAACTTAACATACACACCCACAGTGGTTCGTATGAACGGGGTGCGATTATGATGCGGTGCGGAATTCGCACTGAAAACGCTGCAAATTCTGCACCGCAGAACCAGGGTTGAAACTTCTAAAACAAGATCCTAGCCGTGTCCCGGCCCTACATACATAAAAGGCAATCCTGACTATCAGGCCGTCTGAGCCTGCTGCTTGTCAACCTTCATAAAATGGAAATATTTTATTGAAATAAAATCTTGCAACCAGCTTACATTTTATACAAAAATACAAAAAGAATAAATAAATACAGTATTCAATTATCTGGAAACATAAGCAAAAACAAGAACAGGATACATCTCCCTAAATCAGATATATACTAGTAGAAAAAGGAAACTTTAGCCTTTACGGCTTTACTATCTGGGCAGGTAAGAAAGCATTAATAGAGGCCTTTATGATCTCCAGCCCAACAATATTTGTATATAAGGTCTTCCTGACCTTGCTTCAGAAAAATCAAACCAAAAAATACTAAACATAAAAAACCAAGGCTTCTGCAGCCTCATGCACATTCATATTTTGGTTATGGCCTCCTCCAACCAACCTTCATAAATGGACATAACCTGTCTGCACCCCAGGCTGCACGGCCCTGATTGTGTGTCCAGGTGAGCCTACATAACCTGCAAGGGACAGGTGCAACACCCAGAGTGGATCAGCAGATCCCGACCCCAAAGGTATGTCCAATGTGTAAATCCCAGCAGAACTATTCCAGGCTCCCTATGGAACACTCTGTTATCTGTAGCTGATGCAGCGCACACTACTCATATATAATACTCACACAAACCTATTTCTTACATTGGTAAAGTTCTATTTCTCCTTCCATGTGTACCTGGTATGCTGCAGGTTACTGTCATTAAGCAGCCAGGAGCTCAGCAGCTTGAAAGGAATTATGGCAATGGATGGCATGGTGGGTAAAGTCTAAGGCTGGCCATACACTATACAATTTTCTGTCCAATTTCTGCCCAATTTCCTTTAGATTTACCTTCAACTATGTAGTGCAAGGGCCTGCCTAATTGGATAGAATTGAAAGTGTTGTTAGTTTTGACCTCCTATTATATAGTTTTTGGTAAATCTAAACCAAAAATCTCAAGAAAATTGTATAATGTATGGCTAGCCTAAGGGCTCGTTCACACGACTGTTTTACCAACGCTTGCCAAATGCCCCTATAGCGTTTGGCAAGCGTTGGTCAGACGTTTGCAGGCGTTTGTCCGAGCGTTAAAAAAATGCCCAACAAATGCCTATAATGAAGTTTGAATGGTGTTACTGCTCCGCAAACGCCGGCCGGGCATTTGCGGAGCGTCACCATAGACTAGAATAGGAGGCTTCAACGCCTCCTGACTCGACCAGAGGCGTCTGTTTTGCCGCGATGCAACACTAACGCTCCCGTTAGAACAGCATCATGTGCTGCAATGTGCAGAATTGGCAGAGGCGTTTGGGAAGCGGTAAAAACACTTCCCAAACGCCTCTCTGCCCCCTGCACACAACGCTAGTTTGAACGTAGCCTAAAACTGGCATTATACAATTTTCTAGAGAATTTTGCTTTAGATTTACCAAAAAAACCTATAATATAAGGTCAAATTTAAACAACACTTTCAATTGTATCCAATTAGGCAGGCCCTTGCACTACATAGTTGAAAGTAAATCTAAAGGAAATTGGACACAAAATTCTATAGTGTATGGCCAGCCTAAGGCTGGTCATATATTATACAATTTTCTTTCAAAAATTGCTTTAGATTTACCAAAAAAACACATAATAGGAGGTCAAACCTAAACAACACTTTCAGTTGTATCTAATTAAGCAAGCCCTTGTGCTACATAGTTGAAGGTAAATCTAAAGGAAATTGGACAGAAATCTCAAGAAAATTGTATAGTGTATGGCCAGCCTTAGGCACTGATAGGCAGCAGTGAAGAGCACTGATGGACACTGGCTGTCAGCAGTGATGGACACTGATTGGCAGCACTAATGGACAATGTCAGCACTGAAGGACACTGTTGGGGCTGCCCTGATAATCAGTGTAAATGTCCCCTTCCTCACAGCGTGAGGAAAGTATTGCTGATGACCAGCAACCGTGTTTACATCGTGATCAGCGGGGTCTCTACCTTGCAGTGTAGTGAGCACCGATTGGCTGCTCATCAGGAAAGGGGAGTGTCTGACTTATCCTTTATCATTTTCGCTGCCAGAGTTTTTGCGTTATTTGCACACGTTTAAAAAATCATTTTAGGCCTGAAGATGACACAGAACCCCCCCAACATTATATATTTTCTGAAATCAGAGATCCCAGAGAATAAAATAGTGGTAGTTCCAATTATTTACGTCACATGATATTATTAATTTCAGTAAAAAATACATTTAAGTTAATTTTAGGGTACAAAAAGCAATAAATTATCCATTTTTTTCCCTAAAATATAAAAGACGAGGTTGCAGCAAGTAAATAGATATCCAACATGTCAAACCTTAAATTTGCGTGTGCTCGTAAAATGGCAACAAACGTCAGTACCATATATTTTCTATAGGCGACACTATTAAAGCCCCTTATAGGTCATCAGTATATTGTATGGATGAGGTCTGGTGCTAGAATTATTGCTCTCATTCTGGCATGCGCGGCTATATGTAACATGTTTTCATGTGTAGGCGCCCGAGTTTGTGCTTTTACGTTTGTGCGTGCGTACATATCTGGGGGTGGGGGGCCTTGAAAAATTTGGGGGTGTTATATGCTTGGGTGTAACTTCCAT